GATAATCTCTTCGTGTCCAATATCTAATTATCTACGTTTTTGATCGTAATGGAATAATAATAACCCTGACAAATATATTAACCATGTTCCGGGACAGTTTTAATATTTGATGTATATATATACTTATTGAGAATAATGTCTCTGACTTTAAATTTAGTCTCAACTGTTTGCTAAATTACTAATGATTCCTACGACGGTTCAATTAAAGAGATAGTTGAAGCTTGTGCGAAGGTTTTAATTAGAGAGTTGAATGTACATATCGTACTGAGCACATTATAGGCGCGACTCGATGTAATATGGTTTCGATGTAGGCGGTGTTACGAAATTAAATCTAAGCGGATAAAAATGTAATAACTACAATTATTATACATTACATTAAACTGTAGATCATAGTAAAATTTTTTATACGATTACGTAATAAAGTAAAAAAAAAAATAATAATAATAATTACATGCTTACCCAAAAAAATAAATTCGTCCGTTTACTATTATATTTACAACATTATAATTGTACTTATACTCATTAACGTGCACAAATATTATGCGCCAAAAGTAAATTGCTCTGTAGATTTTTTGTTATCTTTTTCCGCAGTATCTACTGTACCATACAGTACCATACAAAACAGACTGGATAAAATTGATATTTTTTAATTGGCTCTAACCTAACATATAAATTTCACTCATATTTCTCACCAGTGCAATCATTAATTTAAAAACTATCAACAATTTATCATATATTGATGTGAACAAACACATATAGTTTACAAGGGTAACTTATTATTGATAATATTTTATTTTTTCAATATATTCTGGTTTTGTTGTCGTACAAACGTTAAAAATTGAACGAACGTTATTCTGACGAAAATAATAATGATAATAAGCATAACACACACACACACACACACACACACACACACATATGTACGCACGCATATATATATTCATATGAATACATAGGAAACCCTTAGATTATAGTTGTAACACGTTTTCGTTGCACTGAGTTATGACGGGACAATATTGTTTTTGTTACAGATATTTAAACGAAAATATGTTTATGTATAATATATGTATAATTGTTGTAACCGTTATTTCATGTTAGAGGCTAGCTCCGTTTTTCTCTGTATTATTTAATCCCTGAGGGGAGGGGAGACGTGTACCGAAAGCAAAGAGAGTATATTTCAACCAGTACAATTTGCATAAAAATATGATGGTAACGTGTCAGGATATTTCCCTTGTCAGTCTTGGTAGTTCAGAAAATTCAAATATATGGCAACTTATGTATGCACTACAGAACACCTAAACTATAAACCGTGGCATATAACGATTTTTTTTTTATTAGATACTTATGAAAAACGTTTATACCTTCTACCCATCAAGATAAAATATTACTATTTCGTTGTAATAATAATAATAATAATAAACGTATGGAATTAACTCCATCCCGCGCACCGTAAATATTTTCATACTATAATATGATGTATATATTGAATACCTATGTTTATTTTTGAATTATTTCCATTCATATAACCATTCATGTCGTATTACACACGTACGATTTACAAAACAAAAATGTTTCGTCTATTTTTTGGTGTTTTTTGGGGGGAGAGGGAAGTTAAACACATGTGTTTTATTTTTATTATTATTGTTGTTAAAAATGCTAAAATCCTACTTACAGAATTTTATTTATATAATTTATTAGTAGGTATATATATATAGTTAGTTGTAGTATTAGTAGCTAAGATATCTATATATTATTATCATTGACGTTTGCCCACCCCAGATGTCGAAACGATAATTGTAATCTACCGGTCAACAAAACGCATCATTCTGTAGTACTAGTAGGAGTATATTATACGTACATAAATTTAAATCATATACATATATAATATATTTATTATTGGACATGTAAACGAACGTATTTACAATTATGTATAGTCATGTACGCCCCTAAATGGGAACGTGCATACAATCGTATTCATCCTATCGCAACTTCCTTTTGAGTGTGTAGGATGCATATCATTATGACTTTTGGACCACGAAATACTACAATATTAGAACTGGAAGGGTGGTCTATCGTTAACCATCAACAGTTCTAACACAACTATGAGGTTTTAAAAACAAAGGTATACCTAGATACTGGACCTATTAAGTATATAATACGAGTATAAGTTGACTGACTGTTTTTATCTAAGATATTAAATTTCCTCCAAGTACGACTTGAAACAGTAAAATCACCGCGCATTTCAGGGTCCTGGTGTTAGGTGTTTAAGTTATTTTGCTTCGTATTTGTGTTTCTTTCGAAAAGTCACGTTTCAAATTATCGTTTTCTTCTATAAACTTGGCTGGATCACCTGGGGTGATATTATAAATAGAATTTGTGCGCACTTCAAAATTAACAAACCGTACAAAAATATGTGCAGAATATAAATATGATGTTGAGGCACTTAGAACGTAGCAGTTTTATTTTTCAGCACAAAGTTAATAAAACCAACAACAGAGTTATTCAAAAATAATTACAAAAGAAAATATAGTTAAAAAATGGTGCTGTTAAATAGCTCGATATATAACATTTCTTTAAATGTAAAACTTTTTTTTTTTGTGTTATTATTCTTAAAATAATAATTTTTTTCTTAACTAATTACATTTCTGAATTTTCTAGATAATTTTTATTTTACTGCAAAAACAGAAAATATTCAAGGGTCCTTCATAACGTGGAGTAAATGGAGAAGAGTTAATAATTTATTAAATAAAAATATTTCATTGATTTTGATGTTAATGTATCTGCAAACACATGGAGTTGGCTGATATCAAATTTACGTGACCCATAAATAAGAATTATTTTTAGATGCTGAATCTTGTTGGTCAATACTAACACGTCAAATATTGAACATTCGTTTAAGCTTTTCACCTCAATATTCGTCACTACCCAATCTTTAATATTATTTCAATTTATTGGCATAGTGAATATTATGTAATACATACTTTGAATTCTGGGTAGTCAAAAAATATTATGTATAGGGAACGGATTTATATGTAAATGCATATTTTTATTAAAACGAGATATTTAAGATTCGATAAGAAATGTTTATGATTTAAATCATTCCTACTAAAATGATGATACTTTTATTTTACATATTTTTACATATTTCACTAATTTTTAATTATTTTTAAACATATTTTTATCATTTCATCATTCATACGTCTTCTTCGTACGAAAATACAAGAAATTATTTCAAAATTAGATCCAGAAACTTTTATCGCTATTGGAAAAGCTCAAAATAATATGCAAAATGAAACATTGAAAATTATTTAAATTATTTAATTTTAATTAAAAATAATTTAACAAAATTATTTTTAATTTTAATTAAAAATAATTTAACAAAATTATTAATAAAAAATATATCCCCAAATGATAGTATGCAAATTGTTAAATCAGCGATTAAAACTCGTAAGCGGACCAATAGATGTCGTAAAAAAGAAAATTCATGCTGTTACAGAAAAAAATTCCAGGCAATATTGATTTTAAAACAATCAATGACATAATGAATGGCAGACAACCTTTTCAAAATTTGGAATTATCGCCTTCTGATAGTATACACTTGAAATATGCTTTTAATACATCGGTTGATGTGAAACGATAATTTAGCCGTTTTAAAAATATTTTGATACCTAATAGGCGACATTTAGCATTTGATAATTTACAAGATATTGTAATAATTCAATGCAACAAATCTTTTTGATAATTTAATAATAATAATCACTTTTTTTTTAAAGTTTTTTTTCCCCACATATTTGGATGTTTTTAGCACATATTTTATAAATTATACTTACATATATATGTACATATTTCTGTATTTTAATTACATATAAATCCGTTCCCTAATTTATGTAAATTTATAACTTTTATACGTTGATAAGCATATACGCGATGATCGATCACACAACCGGTTATTATACATATTCCATGTATAAAGGTTAGTTATTATTAAGTATTTGTATATAAATATAACTTATCAGTGTTTTGTGTTATTACCGTTGTCATTATTTATATTTTTACTATAACACCCTGCACACGTAGAGTTTGATGTGATTTATAACCGACCCTTAAAAATCGACGTAAGTACACACTTGAATTCATCCCAGTGTGATAGACATAATATTATGTTGTGATTAATTTTATAAACGTTAAATCGACTATTTGAAAGTATCATTTGTTCCTATGAATATATTATTTCGGATAAAAGACATCATTTTCCAATCGTCTGTGGTAACAGTTGTACACAAATGATTTGTCATTGTTCCATTAAAATATTCAAAGTACCTTAAATAGTAATAATTGTGTACGTTAATATGAAACCGTCTTCTCTCTTCCTCTGGAAAACACCATTTCACACGCTTTAAAACTTTTGTACCGTGAGGTGTATCTAGCCTTAAGACTTATTTATTTTTTTAAATATTTTACCGGTATTCGTCCAAAAATTTTGCAGACGACAACCAGGATCGTGCGCGCTATTGCGAAAACTCAAATTTCAAATTTCATTTGATCATTCATTTCATCTGTTTAATTAAAGGTTTACGATACGACTATACTGGACTGCAGCCGTCGGAATAAATGATATATTTTTTGTGTTAGCGAGTAGTCTGAAAATTAAATTACGAGTTCAGTGTTTGATTATGGTTGGCGGGCGTCGGATTCGAGGGTAACAGATGTTTCTCGGACGTACATTTCAAACGCGCGCTCCGTTTAAAATATTCATTAAAAACATGAAACGGAAATAAAACGTCGTCTTTATCGGTCCACGATGTGCACGCATATACGTACGGTGTCGACAGATTATCGAGGGACATTGTAGTACAATATTTTACCGTATTTAGGTGAGTGTGTACGCGCGCGCACGCGTGTGTGTATTGTTGTACTAAAGCCGGTTCCCCTCTTCTGAAAATCTGTGTGTGACGCGTTGTGTTCATTGTGCGGGACCTGCTGCTGTGCCACAAGATTGACAGTGCGAACACGTTGTTCGGTGCACATGGATGCTCGCGCGCGAATACATCGCATCATCGATGCATCATCGGTGATATCGTATAATGCACGTTGAACCGTCGACAATTCGAGTTGGATATTTTTCAACGTCCATGATATTACTTTTACTCCGGGAAAAATAATATAATGTCCGTGCCGGTATCGTAACGCGTCCCCCACGTTCTTTTGTGCGGGTGTTTTTCTCCGTTTTCAATAAACATTGTTTTTCGCGTTGTCGGAAAAATTGAACCCATGAAGTTTTCCACCGGTGGCCGCAAGGATTCGTATTCCTTGGACAGACGCAGGTACGTAACGATATAGCTCTAGTGTGCGGCGGTCAGCAAATTACTGTACCGTCAACGTATCCTACTTAAATACATTAATTACATTTGTCTAATCATTTTTATAATGATCAATGAAAAAAAAAAATGAGTTTTTGGTTTGATTTAACATTGTTATCAAATTTATTCGACTCAGATTATAGTTGTCTGGTAACAAAATAATTTTTTTTCCGGAACTTATTTATTCGGACTCCAATAGAATTTACTTGCTATGGAGGATCGTCTTTCTTGCGACATGAAATTTACGATGATGTACGTGATTTAAGATGTGACATTTTTGTATTTTTATAATATTTAAACGACGTACATAAATTAAAACCTTAATTACTACCATATTGAATTAGAAGCAATAATATTTAGAAACAACATAACATTTTTTATACATAATATCTGTTTTATTTTTTTTAAATGGACTGAGGTACACGTATTATATTAAGTAATTAAGGTTCTAACTTAGCAGCATTTAAACAGGTATACCGCACATAGAGTATATTATATTATATTATTAAAATACAATTTTAGCCAACATTTATTTAAAAAAATTGCAAAAATAATACTTTAAAAAAATATTATTATAAAAATAATACTTTAAAAAAATATTATTATAATACACCTAATGTTCCTTTAAAAAAAAACGGTATAATAAACATTTGAACAAAACATTTCCCAAAGTTTTTTTTTATTAAAAACAATGGGGTGTGTTTAGAGTTTATTTACTTTATGAATTAAAAGTAAATATATAATATACACGAATCCTTATGACTTACAATAAAAAAATTTGTTAAAGAAAATCAATAATTTACGGAATTTATAATTTAGAGAAAACAAAAATAAAAATTTTTACATAACCTATATATAGGTGCATAAATGGAAACTATTGAAATGAAATAATCAAAAAATAAATCAAAATGAAATATGTTATTTTTATTTATTAATAAATACTAGATAAAAATTAGATAAAAATCTGTTACGTATAAAACTAATTTTTTTCAGTATCTTACGATAAAACATATAAAATTATAATTTACAGATACTTGGTAATCTAAGACCTATAAAAATTTTAATTTACAAATTTAGAATCTTTTTCCTAGTGGATTAACATAATTTTTATTCGCATTAATTATTATCTGATTCACATTCTCATATTTAGTAACTATATTTTAACAATTTTGATTTGGTTATCAGTTTAGTTACAATATTATATACTGAATAAACAAGTTTAAATATTATAAAAATTAATATTAAATTAATTCATAATTTATTTATACAAGGTCAATATATTTAGAATAGTATAAAGAATTATTTAAATAAAATCATTGATTTACCAATAAGTCGTTTCATTAACACATCCAAATTATAAACTAACAATATAATAGAAATTTATTTATTATAAAATAATCGATATTTTGTTAAGTTTATTGAAATATCAAAATTAGTTCTATATAATACACAAAAAGTAAAACTTTCTGGAATGATGATATTTCGATTAATTTTACTGAATTAATTAGCTTACAAGTGGTAAAGTTTAATTTAATTTCATAACTTACCAACAAACGTACCTACAATGGTATTATATATTTTACCTATATCATTTTAGGAATCTACTTAATAGTATTACTTCAATAATTGAAAATATCAATTATTGATCTACCGAATTTGTCTTAAAGTTTTATGCGTGACATGTCATAACAGTGAAATAATAATAATAATATATATGTTTCCGTTGTGTTTAAAATTTCATTTTTCTCCGTTTTATTCTTTATTCGTATTTAACTTAGTAATCATTTTCTACAAATAATGTTAGCCTTTTTAATGCTTTCCATTTATCTTGGCATTCCGAAAGTGTACACTTCACAAATTCGATCGAAACTTTTACAACGAACTTCATTTGCTGTATATAATCGTAAAATTATACGTTTGTAAACGTACGTATAAATCTTACGGGTGTATTTCCAATACATGACATTATTATAATTGCTATTGCAAGAAAAAATATAACACGAATTGTGCGTGGAGATTATTATTGACTGAGCTCTAAAACGAGTCGTTAAAAAACAAAAACAAAACTCGCCTGAATCGTTGTTGGTGCGGACCGACGACAAAAACAATTCTGCATTTTGCTCAATGTATTTAGCGTAATAAATAAAAAAAAATGTAATCCCGAATGAAACGCAAAATTGCATATTATTATATTTATACACGTATACAACAGAAGGTTTTGCCAATGTTGGAGTACCTAATCTGAGACAAAGGTAGGAATTTCATCGTATGGGATTAGATATGTCGGTTCGATTTACCAATGAAACGTCAGTTGGTATGTAGGCTTCGGTTAGGTTATCTATACAAATGGACTTCAGGTGTTTTGTATGGCGGAGATTATATACGGTGGAGTGAATGTAGCCGTAGCGTTCAATTTATTTTTGCGTCAAAATAAACATTATATTAATATACGTTTACAGAACAGTGATTTTATTACAAAATGCGTGGTCGCGTGGGTGTGTATGGCACTGTATGTGAAAAACAAATAAAACAAGTGGTAACAGACACTATATTATGGTGCATGTGGTAATCGTTTCATTTGTCCCTTGATGACGGTATTGTAGGGGTTATTATTAATTTAATTTTTTTTTTATCGATAATTACCTATTATATTGCTGCAGAATTCGATTTTTCCGAAAACGTTAAAAGTTTTCGGACTTTTAAGTTAAAAACAAACGATTCTTTACATTTGTCCGCAGATTATGTTTTCTTCGTTTTATCAATGTACTAATTACTGGGAACTTCGAAACATTAGTAAAAAAAAATAAGTACGATCACTTTTTCAATCTATAGAATTTCTGCCAGAAACCTTTCAGGTTTTTTACTGTCCTTAAAATGATGATAAGAAAAATCTTAAAATTGTTAAACTAATCGTTTCTTCACCCTTACAATCAGAATTAAAAATAACAAATTAAGTACTGTGCTTAAAAAAAAAGTCTAAACAGTGGCAATATAATAATAGGTTAATTTATGTTATATTTTTATTAGACAATAAATAAATTAAATCAGATTGTATTCAAAATATTATATATATATATATATACATATAAGTAGAGCGCGGATTTGTATGCACTTAAAAGTATCGAAATATGCCATATAATATGCAGTAAAAATCATGAAAATATGTAAGAATTTTTTATTTATTTAAAATGTATAATTCAACTTATAATAATTAACTACTTAAATACTTAATACAAAAAAATTTAAGGAATTTTCTGAACTTAATTTATTTTTAAAATTTTATTTATTATTAAAATGAATAATCATATGCATTTCAAATTTATCTTTTGTGAAGCTGTGTCGTTTATCGGTTAACATATTTTTAAAGACTGAAAACGAACATTCGATGTCAACCGAAGTTATTGGGGCATATTTGAAGCAAGTGGTATGTCGATAACCGACTGACACAACAAGAGCGATTAAGTTTACATTGTAATCGATTATTTATTTTATAACTAAATATATATATATAAATAAATTTTTATTTAGTGACTATGAAATTTAGTTTTAATTTTTTTACTTGACAAAATATTATTTTTTGTACATTTTTTTTTAAAATTTTCACTTAAATATGCAATAAATTTTGAATTTTGCCAAAATATGCAAAAATATGCAATAACCTCTAAATATGCAGAAATACGCAAAAAAAAATGTCACTATTAGCTTCAAATTATGATAACTGACAAAAATCCAGAAATATTGAAAGGAAAAAAATATACAATTGCATAGAAATCCGCGCTCTACATATAAGTATATTTCATAGTTTCTACGTCAGGAAAAAATACTCTTTAAATATATTAGAATCATTTAATTTGATTGATAATATTTTGTCAATATAGCTGTTTACGCCACTAAATATACCACGCATCTAATTTAAATTTAAATTAAATTTTTTCAAAAAGTAAATTGGATTGTAACAATGAAATTGACCATAGTTTTTTTTTATCAAATTGTATATATTATACTTTTTTAAATTAGAAAATATCAATGTTTACAATTTATATTATACGTGGTATAGTCTGATTAGCCATTATGTTACTATAATCATTACTTAATTTCGATCACTTAATAAAATAGGAGTTTGGAGTCTTTACTATAATATTTGATTGTGATGATGGAAATAATAATGTTTATAATGAATTCGGTCAATAGAAAATTAGTACGAAAACCTTAATAAACTAACCGGTATAATACTTAATAATTAGGATTTCATAGATGGTTTCGCTCAATATAAAAGCATTAGCCTGCAAAAATTTTATAAATATACCATTAGCCCGAAAATATAGAAAGTTAATTATATAAAAATGGATGGCCAAATTAAAATGTAAAACTGCTTATTGCTAAATTTTGGAATAAAGAAATATAGAATAAATTATGTAGTTCACTACCATAAATGATATTATTAACATTAAAATTCATCATGGAGATAATTTGATATCAGGGTTCAACAGAATAACAACCATGGTCATTACCATTACGGAGTTTTGTTTACAATGTATCGAGAGGTATAATTTATGTTTGATATTAGCAAATGCTTCGAATAATTGTTTTTGCATTAAATAATTTTTTTTATTAATTTATTGTGATTAAATTATTAAGGATACGTAATTGTTGTTTATATTATTTGTGATATAATGCGTATAAAGAAAATGTTCAGCAATTGTTATTAAAGGTTTTTTTTTTAGCTTTTACGAACCCTTCAGGCCCCTTGGTTTTAAATCCAATTTATTACATTTCTTGCATGCGTAATTCCGGACCAGATTCCAATCTGACTTTAAATTCCGATATTAAAAGTTAATTGTATTATATTTTTATCAGATTGAATTGAAATACAAGTATCTACAAAGGTAAGTTAAACAATTGATCCATTTTAATGTTTTAAAAAACTTTAAATGTTTTAATAATTAATTTGTTGAATAAAATGT